TAAAAAGAAAGACAATTAAAATTATTATTAAATATTTTATTCTTTTCTTCTGTCTGTTTGTTTTACTACTTTAAGACAAAAATTCCCTATGAACATGTATCAAAAATGTTGTGAAAGCGAGCTACACCCCCTAAAAGAAATGCGTTTTTCAATAAGGTTTTCCCACTATTACAGAATAGATGAAATTACAAAAGTTGGTACAGCTGATAACCTTTAAACACCTGAACGAATTCAACGATCAGTTGTCAAAATTTTTAATAACGGGCGTTTTAAAGGGTAAAACAAATTTAATTTTTAATTTTTATAATGCTAATCTTTAATATGAATTTTAAAACTGATTTTACCTTAAAAAACGGAATGTTGTGTCGAAAAAATCTATGAAAAACTAGAGATGTTAAAATTTTTTGGCTGAAAGAACCAACAGCCAAAATAATTAAGGTACTTTTTACCCAAAACCTCTCCAGTTTAGGACGACCCTGTGTAAAAATTTTGACTTTTAATTTTTGAATTCGTTTGGGTGTATAAAGGTTATCAGTTGTATCAAATTTTGTAATTTTATCTTACAATGGTTTCTGAAATATTGGAAAAAATCCATTAAAAGATGTACTCCTTTAAGGAGATGTAGCTCCCTTATATAAAATTTTTCGATACATGTTTATAGGAAACTTTTAAACCGAAACACCCTGTATACCTATGTATTTAAAAAATAAAATAAAAACTTGATAAAATGAAATTAAATATTCGATCCACCTTTTATAGATGTGTAAAAATCAATTTTAATTAACAGTAAATATTTTCAATTTTAACGAATGTATTGATTTAATTTTAATATTCATAGAATCCAAATAACAGTCTGAATAAAAACATGGTTAAAAGTACTGTCAAAAATTTTCTAAACGTAACTTGCCTAAAATGTTATGTTTAATAAAAAATGTTAAAGTTAAAATATACCACAAATTGTTTAATTAATATTATTATTATAAATGCAAAAAGTAACTTGTTTTCTATTTCAGTTGTATCAACATTAGCTGCAAAAGTTTACATTATTGTAGCTAACGGTAAACGTATCGATCTATTTCAAAATTTATACA